CATATCAGCCACAGTGTTGACTCTGAGTAGATTAGTCCAGTAAGTCAAAGTGGATCAGTAGGAAAACTTTAAAGAGTGGTTGAGATGACATCAACAATGATCAGCACCAATGATGAAAACACTGGCATAAAGTTGTATATGCGTGCAACTGCAGTTTCTAATTCTTGAATGACCCCAGTGGATTCATTTCAGGAAGTTAGAGTTAATTTCTTCTGTATCTGTTAATATTTGCCTTTTTCAGAATGTGCTAAATTTTACAAGAACTGTGTTAAGAACCGAATACTTTGTTAAAGTTGCTCATTTTAGATTTGAATGGACATTAATTTTTGGGACTGCAAAGTGGCTCGGTGGTTAGCATCATTGCCTCGTAGCAAGAAAGCTGAAATCCCTCATTTACAAAAGCATTCCTACACTTTGCTGCAGCACCTCAGGTTGTGGTCGGATGCATCCTGTTTGCTTTAAATATTCATGGATGTATGTAGAGTCCGTCTGTATCAAATTGAATTGATGGAACAGGTTAGAAAGGCTTGCACCTGTGTGTGTGTGTGTGTGTGAATATATAGGTTCCCATAATTCACACTCATCAGGACAAAAAAACAAGTGCTGAAGCCTGAAGATTTCTCTTTTTAAATCTTTGTATTATGATCGACTTAGATACATTTTGCAAGAGCATAAAACCATTTCTAAAGCTTTCAGTGTTTGTAGGAGCTCAGTGGCCTCAATCAGTACAACCAAACTGAGTACCAACACATGCAAGTCCTTGTTCGGGGAGGTGACCAGGAACCCAACAATGACTCTAACAGAGCTTCAGGAGTCCTCTGCAGAGATGGGAGAACCTGCTGAAGGGACGACTACCTGAGCAGCAACTCCATCAATCAGGCCTTCATGCTAGAGCGGCTGGACGATGACAGCCTGCTCGGAGTTGGCCAAATAGCATTTGCGGGAGCACGAAGAAAAACATTCTCTGGTCTGATGAGACAAAAACTTGATCTCTTTGGGCAGAACTCCAAGCACTGTGTAAACACCAGGCACTGCTCATCATCTTTCCAATACCAGCCCTGCAGTGAAACACGGCGGTGGCAGCATCTTGCTATATGCGATGCAAGATTTTCTATTTGGGAATTGACACATTTGGATTTTTTTTGAGCTACTCCCAACAAACATTTAAAAATAAAAAGACACATCTTTAAGAAAACTCTTACTTTCAGTAGAAATAGAGGAAGACTTAAAGCTAAACTGTACACTCTAAATACAATGTGTAACTATGAGACTTTACTAGTGCAGCTTTAACTCTGGAGAGCTGCTATGTTGGTGCTTCTCAGTGTCACAAACGGGGACACTGATTAGAGCCGAGAGAGGGATGAATGTAGCCAAGTACAGAGAGGTCCTCAAACAAACGTCCTCCAGACTGCACAGACTTTCTCGACAATTCCCCAAAGCACATACAACTAAAACAGCACTATAGCGGCTTTGGGAGAAGTCTCTCACTGTCCAAGAGTGGCACAACCAAAGCCCAGACTTGAACCCCAGAGGGAATCTGTGGAGAGACCTAAAGAAGTGCAGTTCACAGATCCTCCCATCCAGTTTGAACTTCAACCATCTGCCAGGAAGAATTAGATAAACTGCCTAAAACAAAGTATGCAAAGTTTGAGATTCCCTCATGAAGATGCACAAGCTGTAAATGATGCCAAAGAGCTTCTACAAAGCACTGAATGAAGGATCTTGTGTAAATGAAAGCTTAACACGTTGTCATTTTCTCCTCATGGTTTCTTGAGTGTAGATTGACTACACATGATCACGCAACAGACCCACATTTTTTTTTCCCCCCTCTTAATCCACGTCCATGAGAGCATCCCACAAACATGCCACGACTTGACTAATCCTCTAATGCTCCTCTCTTCCTGGCCCTCTTATCTTTCAGAATGAAGATGAGGATTTAGTTCCGGAGACCAACGGAGACTGCTACGCCTTCCAGATCCCTGAAGACCAAAGCACTTTTCATTTTTAACACGTCCACTTTGTGTTTTTGTAACAAAGAAGAAAAAATAAATAAAAAAGAGGGAGAGAGAGAATTCTTACATTGTGGATTTTGTTTTGTATTTTTTAGATGTAATATCCATGTTTTTAAGAAATGTTTGTAAATAAATTTTATCCATGCATACGATTTATTTGTTGTCGATAATCATTTTTATATACAAGCTGATCTGTGAGGTGAAAACATAAAGAGGTGAGGGAGTTGTCAGTGGGAAACCAGGCCATGGATGGGACCTGATTGTGTGTCACATGGCCACTAGGTGACACTGTGGTTACTCTTTATGTGTGTGGTGAGCTTGTATGTTATAGGGACCATGTTGTGTCTATAGTAATTGTAAACTATTTTATGAATGAAATCTGTGTTTCAGTGCCTGCCTAATGTTTTACAGTCAAAATGGTGAAGGAGGGAGCAGAATCATACCTGGAGATCTGCATAATTCTGTATCCACCTTTAGAAAAAAATCAACTAATTGGGGTTAATTGGCTACATGTGGGGGAGTGCTAGATGTATGATGGCCTGTTAAAAAAAAAAAAAGTGACTTAATTGTAATATATATGCCAGACATTTATTTGGAATTAACAGATCTCCTTAAATGAGTCCCAAATTGTTTTTTTAAATGCAAACTTTTGGATTCACCCTGCATTTAACAGTGGTAACTCCTTCAGATTAGTATTAATCTTCTGTTGCTACTCAGTATTACTGCAATATATTCTATCTCACATGACGTTTATCTCATTCGTGTCAATAAAAACTGCGCCAAACTATCCAGATCAGTAAATAGCAAAAATCCCCTTCAAAATAATCCCCTTTATAATTTACTGCTGCTGTAATCAGGTGAAACTGCCTGTATTGTCTGCAGCTGGATGGTGATTTGTGAGTATATTTTGAACGATCGTGCCGGATGTGCTCTTGTGTTTTCCCTCCCTGACCCTGTGTGGCTGCAACAGCTCAGTCTTTTACCATCACCGAGAGCGACGGGAGTGCAGCAACAGCAGCAGCAACAGCAGCAGCCCGGGCAGAGCAGACGCCTGTCCGGATGGAGGACGAACCGATCACTTGATTCGTATCGGTACTCGTGGCATGCGGCATGATCGGCATCTGGGAATCTAGTTATTTGCAGTATTTCTTTTGCGGAAAACGGGCTCACGTGGAGAGTGTTTTTCCTGCGCTGTGATTATGATACCATTATGTTGCGTGCACAGTCAGCGTGATTTGCTATGGTGATACTACAAGCTAACCCCGAGCTAGCAGAGGGATTGTTGTGGGAGATACCTATTTGAAAAAAAAAAGAAGAAAGAAAAAAAACCCCAACAAAAACTCACACGTTGACACATGAATTAGACACTTTTTTGAGAGTTTTCGTCAAGCTGGAACACGAGGGGGAATGTCTAACCAAGGAGTAAGGAGAAATGGCCCAGTAAAGCTGCGGTTGACAGGTAAGCGAATTTAAACCCCCTCCTGCGCCGCTCGGAAACGTTAGCGAGTTAGCCTGTTAGCCGAGCATGCTAGGTGCTGCTGATGGGGCTCTGGCGTGTGCGTCTTGTGTGATATTGAAATATTCAACCCAATTTTCTATGTTATGTGTATTTTTCTTTATTTATTTATCGCACATAGTTGGTTCGAATTTATCTGAATTAGTCTCAGGCTGCGCACTGAGCGACATTTGAAGGCAGTCAATGAGCCCTGCTCGTTAGCAGACATTAGCTGTGACTACAGTCTTGTTTATGTTGGGTTAACGTAGCTGGCTAACATTACTTTTGCCTGGTTTTACCCCGAACATTAGCTAAGTGTAAATACTTCAACCTAATATGGATAACTCTATTATTCCTATTCCCATTCGGCGTTGTGTTGTGTGGTTAATTTTATTTAGTTATCCGTAAAGGCAATAAAACCCCACTCTATTTAGTTATTTATCGTCAGACATTCATCTCTCAAAGGGGATTTCAGGAGGTAAATATTGTGTGTTTCCTCATAGTGGCGACGGAGTCTTATAACACAAGTGTTTATAAAACAAGCCAACATCATCATCATCACAAACGACGGTGAAAATTCCCAATGACTGATGTATTTTGAAGTAAAACAGTGTAGCAGCATAGCAGAGAATCACCAGCGTGCTGTGTGATGTGGTGTGGTGTAATACACCCGTTTATTTATAGTATATGCATTTCTAATTAGGCAGTCATTTTCTGGTTTGCCCTGAAGAGCTGTGCTGTGGCTTTACAAGGGGAGACGTTGCCTTTGTGGAATTTTATCTTTACCTTGCATGGATGGATTTATGCAGGGACCATGTTTTTCACCTCTTTTTTTTTTTTATTCCTCTCTAGTGGTGACAGCTATATAGAATGATAAATGTGTTGATGTGCAGCAGATATGACTGCAGAGCTGAAGGAGAGAACAGAGAATTTAGGAGTGTCTCATTGTCTTGACGTGTTTCTGCCAGTATTTGGTGATATATGGCAGCATACATATCGATCCATGTACCCTCCTGGTATAATGTTTGGTAAGTTGCGTTATATCTCATGGAGGACAGTGTGCAGAAAGGTAGAGTAATAGTGTAAGATATAACCAGTTGTCCTTCCTGCTCGCCTGCCCTGGGTCTTTTTTCCCCTCCATATGGGGAATGGTTTTAAATGGGCTGCAGTGGTCTTCAGACGGAATCCCAGGAATGTGAAACCTCAGAGAGAGAGAGAGTCTTTCCCGATCATAGACACATTCTCTGTCTGTCCTTCACTACAGGGAAGACAGTGCATGTGTGTGTTTTGGGTAAAGAGAGATTGGGGTTCATATTGCATATAGAATGAGCAGAATTTCTGCTCACACAGTGGTGATCAGTGATGCAAAGTCTTCATTTAGACTTGTGCATTCATTGCACGCTTTACTTGTGTGTTTAGTTGTGGCCACATTTGATTTATGTGTCTGAGACTGTGTGCATTTAGACCTAACATTGCATACCAGTCCAGTTTTACTCTGTCTGCTGCGTGGTTTTTTTCTGCGTCAGAGAGAACGGTAATTGGCAAGCTTGGATCTAAGGGGGGATTTGGAATGATTGCCATTCTTAATAGTTAAATGTGTATTTATTTATTGTCAAATCTTATTGGATTTCATTCTTAATTTATGATTCCAGTTATCAGCAAGCTCCCAGTGACCAATGGCAAAAAAATAAAAGCATTTAACATCAGGACAAAACAAGACGATTCGCCTCTGCTGCTTTTTGGTGATTTGTAAAAAGAGCTGTTTGAATGTTGTCACATGAAGCCTGCCGCCCCGTTTGTTTCCCAGCCTTCATTCCTGCTCGCCTCCATACGCGTTCTCTACGTGTGAGCTAATCAAACGACAGTAAAACAATGACTTTCTATCACAGTTCCTTTCCATTTACATTCTGTCGCATAATTGTAAATTTCCAAGTTGTTACAAATGGCTTGATAGTTCCTGTTTATTAAAGGATCAGCTTTAAACTTCCCCTGTTGTTTGGATTAGACATTAATCACTGGCAGGGTGCTGTCACGAATGATGCTCATATCTGTTGCAGACTGGGCGAAGTTACCCCTGCAGCGGCTTTGCTTTGTTTCTTTGACGTCTTCAGCCACAAGTCGGTGCTTTTTTATCGGTAATTCTTCACAGATTACAGTGGTTGTGGCTGTGGTCCTCACAGTGATATACAATTGAACTGGTTTTGTTTTTTTAAAAATGCTCTTCCTCCAAAGTGAAACTTTTTCTAGAGATGAGTCACAGACGCAGCTGAATTTAAAGTGGGTTGCTACAGTTTGCCGCCCTCACTGGGATCCCCTCTTGTCACAGCAATGGATTAGAATTTGTGTGGGGTGGGCTTACACACATTGCAGGATTTTGGATTTGGAACGTATTCATGCATAGTTTAGTCATCCCACACTACATTTAAATGGCACCTTCTAGTTTCTCACAAAAGCTTTTTTTTTTGGTAAGTCCTCCTTACATTTATCTGGGACAGCTGCTCTTTGATGCTTAAATTAATAAAAAAACAACCTAGTTTGAGTTTGCTGGTAGGTGGTGTGTCGTTGTGTCCCCACAGAGCTTGTTGCCAAGCTCGTAAAAGAGAGCAATCTCTGAATTTTGAGAGCTGTTATTCCAAACACTGCAGGGTGCAGGCAATAGTGTAGTCCTACGCCCCACCCTCCTCATCTCCTGTGCACTGCAAGTTGGTGTGATTTGCAGAAACTGAACAAGAGCAGGGTGTTTTCCCTCATTTTCCTTCACTGGATGGAACCTTGAGTTTCTTAAAGGTGAATGACATGAGATGTACAAGGAGGTGAATCCACCTCACACGGCCACTTTCAAATATGGCCTCTTGGCTGCATTATGCTGTGAGGAAGGGAGTCTGTCTATGTGATCCATTTCCTCCATTAGACTCCAGTTGGCACACAGCAAGCAGAGAGCGACTGGAAGGATCATCTCAGGATTCTTCCTGTTCTGTGAGAGCGTGTGACACTCAGGCAAGCGAGGAAATCCGCACGTATATTTTTCATCTACCGTCGTGCTTTGTGTGTGCACGTCCTTCTCTTTCTAACATTTGGGGAAGCTGATGCTGGCGCTTGCGTGTGTGTTTGTGTGTGTGTGTGTATGTATGTGTGTGTGTGTGTTGAAGGGGGAAAAGCCAGGAAGCTGGTGATTAAGATAAAGATCCAGCCTTGTTCCAGGCCCAGCTTTACCACCGGGCCAGAGTGCATTTCAGGGACGTTATCAGAGACCACTGTCTCAGCATTCAGTGTCAGCTCTCAGAAAATACATCTGTGTTTGTCAGCGTGTTTGCACGTGCAAGCGCACACATGCTTTCACATGCACATGCACACAGATGCACTCATATACACAGTTAAGCTTCCACAGGATGTACTGTCAGCACGCGATGCTGAGCTAAATTAGGCATGGCAGCTTCCTAAAATATTAGGAATTAATGTTACAAAGAGAGTGCACCATAGTGCTAGTGAGAAACTGACAGGCACACATTTTCAAGTTAAGATGTCTTTTTGGGTTTGTAGCATAATTATGAATTAATAAATAGCTTTGTTCGAATTTTGCATTTAATATTTACTCATTGTAATATATGGACATGTAAAATGTTCCTCTGTGTTTGAATGACTTTGAAAAAACTGTTCTACATATTCCTTCATATTTAGTCCACAATTTCAAATCTTAAAATAAGCCTCCCTACCATCTGTGAGTCGTCGTCCTCACATTGAACAGTTTAACTTCATTTTTGCTTGTCAGTTTGGCTGGTATCTCCGTATCCTTTGAATGGAGCTGATTACATGTTGGTAGTCACATTAAATCAACACATTGTAAGCGGCTGGTAATGTGGAGACTTGGGTGATGCATGAGCTGGTGGTGCAATTTATTTTGTTACGTCTGACTTGTTATATTTCCAAATGGCTTTTTGCCCTTTAAACAATGCAGAGTTTTGACAGTTGAAATGTGGACCACAGTTAGTGATTATGATTCATCCACACACAACTTATGTGAGTCATGCACTGATGTGTTTGGTGTGTTGCTCTCTGGTTTATGTGCGCCTGGCATCGGCTTAAATTTATGAACAAGAAATTCTCTGGCAGAAAATGCAGTTTTACCCAGTTAGGAGGCAATTAATACTCTCTGCTTTAAATGTTATGATTCTTGTACAAATTGCCTCTTAGATGCTGGGATTGTCTTAAGATTTTCACAACATTTATCAGAATTTGTGCCACATGAAGAAATATATATATAATGGGAAAATTTTTGCCTGTGCACCAGCAACATTGATGATTAACTAGTGCATGCCCTATATAGAAAGGCTGCCTGAACTGAAGATAAGTTAAGATAAGTTGGCTGTTCGGAATGCACCTCCATGACTCCACCCTACCACATGGAAAATGCAGTGTTTGGTATCTCGAGGTCAGGGGGAAACACGTCTTAACAGTCCACTGCTTTTTTGAAGTCTACGGTTCAGTGCTTGTGCTGTCTTAGCCAGCTTGCACAAAAGTATGATGTGTTGAAGCCCACCTGCACATTTCCATACAACTTACCTCTGGCTTTCCTCTTCCTGGAATCAGACACTTCCTCTTTCACTTGGCTCCTTGTTTCTTTCAGAGCCTGTCTGTCACTGCGCTTTCTTAACATGAAGTGTAGGAGAATGGGCTAGTCTTCGTCTCAGAGGTTTAAAGAGAGAGAAGTGTGTGTATGCGCTGTACATTCTTGCGTGGTGGTTTCTTTGTGTGTCTTTATGTACCTCAACTGAAACGTTTTTCACTTGATCAGCCAAGACAAGAGAGCAGTTCATATGGACAGCCCCCCGCTGACCCTGTCAGCCCTTTTGTTGTCATCTCTCCTTCCATCAGCTTATGTCCTGTTCACACTTTACTTCTATATCTCATCACCCCTCCTGTGGTAACACATTTGCTTTTCTATTTTCTCTTTTTCTTTGTCCCTT